AATTTGATTTTAAAAAAGGGGAAAAAAGGAAAAAAGAGGTCTTCTACTACAAGTACACATGGGCTGTGGCTAGAGAGGTGTTCAGCTCACCAGACCACAAGCTCATCATTCATGTGCAATGTTACATGGTAGAGTCGGTACTATTTGGACATGTGGGAACTGTATGGGGATGTGTCATCCTTCCAATAGCTATTGTGTTATGCACACTCACTTACACACACACACAGTATACTAGCATAGAGAGTGCAGTGTATTGGGCACAATGTGCGCTGAAACATTCATGCACGACAAGTACATTGTTGATTGTGCTACGTACACACATAATGTATCTATCTATACACAGCAATATCTGTGTGTTGAGGGAGCACATGATTTTCAGAAGTCCTGTCAAAATACAGTCAGCAACATGCACAGCTCTTCACAAAAGATGAACACATGAACATCAGAAAATGTTCTCAGAATCTGAAGTATTGTGCATGTCTGCCTATCTGCCTACAATGCACAACAAACGATAGCCCCCACAAATTACATGCCATGTATTTTAATTCACACGAACATGCAAAATGTTAGATTATTTTGGAAAAACTAATGCTTCCAAGTTCATTTGTTACAAGGCCAAACCCTAGTAAAATTAAATGGTAAGATCTTGTCTGGGTTAATAGTCCATTTTTGTAATGTACATGTATTAAAAAATGCCTTTGTGAAGCACCGATCGAAATTATTTATTCACCTGTCAGGAATATTGTAACTGATACTACATTACTAGTCAAAATTTAAATTGAAAACATTAGTTGTAAATTAGGGTAGGACAAACATGGCTTACCTTACCTTACAACACATACATGTACAGTGTATACATGTACATGCAATTTTACACTTGACTTCGCTAAACTCTCATTGTATTAGTAAAATTAGAAATATAATTTGCTCTCTAAAGCTTACCCACAAAGTTAATTGTAAAAGCTACATATACTTGTATAGAGAAATTGTAAACAAGTCTAAAGTCAAGATTTTGTTAATACTGCTTATCATACACATGAAACTATATATTTTTTTTTAATACAACACAACTTCCTGCAAAATCCCCTGGAATAAATCTGACTGTTTATGATATGATTTCATATTCCACGTAATGAATAATTTCCCTTCCTCAACTGCTCCACCAAACTTTTTCCCATTAAAAAAAAAGTAACTGCAAGCTGAAATTTTGAAAATAAAAAGTCTGAACAATTTCGATACCATCCTCTGTCCATAGCATCCTCAAAAATGTCGTTATATTTTTCACAGTACCACTGATATCAAGTTCAAGGGGGTACACATACAGTATGTACATGTACATGTGTAAGCAGTCTTTATGCACAGACATTATGTACAGTAAATTTAATGTTTCCTTGTAAAATGCATGACCTGTGGATTTTGTGTTTACCAAGGGGAATTTCCTGTAGACTAGCTTGACCATTGTACCCATTATCTAGGAGATTACTGACAAAAGAATGTACAATGTACACTCAACAAAAGAGTGTAGAATGTATAGCGTACACACAACACATGTATGCCTCCAGGTAAGATTACAATGTCCTTGTCCTGAGTGTACACGAGCATATGACAGCAAAATACTTTCTTTTTACCTTTCACTTACAGTAGTTCATAAAAGAAATACAAGATACTTGCACATGTACAGTGCATGTATCCCCTCATCTGTAAACTTTAAAGATTACACATTACAGAGTGTCTATTATGACAAGGATAACTTTTATTATGACAAGGACATTTTACTAATTTCATACATACAAACGGTACATATTTACATGTTTATTGCAGATAATAATTACAGTATCAGGTGCTTTTTGTGTGAATTTCGTACATCAAATTAAAATGACTTTGGGAACAAAATGAATTTGTTAAAATGTTATCTTCATACAATTTTTTGATTTTGGTTTTATTTTTATGATATTTCTTCTCGTGTAAATTAGCCTTTAATCAGTTTTCATCTCAACATGTTTCCTGTTTATTCGTATTTTTCTCTCATAACAGGAAAAGAAATAGTGAAACAACATACATGTACATGTACGGTATACATGTACATGTATAATCTACAATGTAATTAAATCATGAGAATTATGAGATGAATAACGTCCTGCACATTGTACTGAATGAGTCCAACTTGATGCTGGGCTTTTCACATATATGAGCTTGGTTAAATCAAAACACCTCACGTTTGGCCTTAAAGTGACTTGGTAACATTGTTGAAGGTTGACAAAAAAACTGTAACTTTTGTATGAAATGTGACTTATTATATTCCTTTTACTGTACTAACCCTGTAACATGCAACAAATCCGGGAAAAATTCTCAAACCACAAAGATATCTACACTGTATGGTGCGACAGCCTCTAAACAATATATTCTCCCAAACATTTTTGAATTTTCCCAACCGTTTTTCCATGAACAAGGTCCCTTTAAATTGTAATGAAATATTGCTGTCATGTTCAATGCCATTTTCCTTTTCTATTTTAGGCAGCACTAAGTTCTTTATATTATTACACAACACAAATGTTTTAGTGTGACTTGTTTCTCTTTGGTAAGTATCCATGACAACTGGTTTTTTTCTGTCTTGACTAGATGACGTCATAGAAGAATTCATAAAAGATGAACTCTTCTTCTCCATCTTTTTCCCCCTGGTACGACTACATGTACAACACATACATTTATGATGAAACATGTCTACATAACCGAAACACACTTATTTTACCCACAAGCAACTCTTGGCATTGGGCAACCATTACTTTCTTCATGTAAGGTAATTGAATTCTAAACATACGTTTTTTTTTCCAGATTTTTAAAAAATGAGGAGGGGATTCAATGTTATTTGATATTGTTTTCCCAAGAGTATGTGAATCCTACTTGGTCAATTAAACACTACTTTTTTTTAAAATTAAACTACTGAACTGCTATGGTTAAAACGAGACGAGGAAAAACTCATCTTTGTTTATTGTCCAGATTTCCTCAAATCATTATAATGTTCAAACAAAAATACTGAAAAATACATGTAGGAGGGGGCAACAAGAACCTAGTGAAAGAAAATTCTTGGGTCTTACATGTATGCCAGTATTTACTTTCTGTGTTTTGATGTGAAATTTACATGTACATGTAGATGTGCTGATGACGTCCCTGGATTTGCGTGTATCATCAACATGACTGATAGCAAAGTTCACCAGTTTGCCATTGTTGAATGTCAAGCAAATATACCACCTGGCTTTGGATTCATTTTAAGGGGGTCATTGTGTCTTTTGTTGAAATCAGTGGTTTTTCTTTCACTCTTTCACTTTCAGGACAGGATTTATTATAAGCCAGGGTTAAATAAATTGGTCACATACTGTTCTTCAAATTGGCAACAAAAATAGTTTTCATGTAATGCTACATTGTTCTAAAAAACTGTAATGTCTCTAAAAACAATATCCATGTGTAGGATCTTTGCCAAAAGTTTTAAAAATTGTAAATTTTAATGGAAAATAAAGATTTTGAACCTCTCAATATATACATTATGTTGCGGATTTGAGGATTTTAAAGCTCATTTCTCTTTTTTTCATCACACACCATATGGTCTTCCAAGAAAAACAGATGTTGCTTTAGAGCTCTGAATGAATCAAAAGTTATTAAGCCAAACAACAAAATATGGAATGATTGTCCTGAAAATTATTTGCAAAAGAAGTTTTGAGAAAAGGAGGTACAGTATGTGAGGGAAAACCAGTTACAAATTATACATATTTTCCACCGAGGAGCCTTGAGCAAAGACTCTTCTCATGCTGTTCTAAAAGGCTGAAAAGTGAAGTACACGTACAATGTGTAAAAATCAAGTCTTTCAGAGAAAATATGATTCCCACTATCTAGCATTCAGACATCAATATTATTGAATAAAGAGGCACAGAACATAAAAACTGTGGGAGCCTATTTCTCTTTAGCCTAGAAATGCCATGTACACTGTAGATCAACATGCCCCCTCCCCATTTCCCCCTTTTTTTCCTCTTTCTGTCTACATGTATCTCTAGGTCATTTTGACCAACTCTCAGTTTCCTTTCATTCAAAACAATTTGAATTTTGGCTCTACAAGCGTATCATCTTTCACATGAACTGCCCAGACAAGATATTATTTCCTGTTTGGCAGGGTCCAGGATCTCTTGATCCATCGGTTTCCCTTTTTGAGCTCATTATGCAACAATATTATATTGATTGAAAGCACGCAGGAACGATGACTGCCAAGAGGTAAAGTGTTATTTGTCACAATATGAATTAATTCAGTGATTTAATGTCAAATTCCTCCATCGACCCATTTTCTTCTCAAACACCTTTCTCTGGATCTCTGGGCCTTGTTTCACATAAACTAGTTATCACTCATCAGTAACAAGTTACAATACCTAAATCAGCTACTGAAACTGTGGGATTTGATTGGCTGAGAGAAAAAAATTCAGAGAAATTTAGCATTTGTTATTGATACAAAGTTTTGTGAAACAGGGCCCCGTATACATACTGTACAATGAAACTGCACTATGGAAGTGTTTGTGTTAAAGGCATCATCATAACACACAAGGTGCAACTACAAACCTATTTCCCTTTCTGTCTAGAGAGGGTAAGTTAAAGGAAACAGGGGTCATAATAAGCTTGAACTGACAAAAACTCAAGGACTTTCACATTTTCAAAACTCAAAAGTAACTCAAAAGTACTTTAGTACTTAAAAGGCCAACACACAGTGATGGGTGGAGTCAAAATAAGAATGAGAATTTACATCAAAACATAATTTCTGTAAACCTGTTATTTCATATCCACTGTGTAAAGGTACTTAAACAAGTGTTACTATCTACTGTGTAAAGATACGTAAAGTGTTACTAAAAATAAAGAAATACCAAGAAATTTACATCAAGAACATGGATCTCCATTGTATCTTTGGTTTCATCATGGAGAAGAAGAACTTGCAATTAATGATGGTTATTTTTCATTGCTCTTACCTGTGGAATGTTATCTAAGTCCAAATCTGTCAATGAACTGGGAACTGGTATGGTAGTTAGTACCTACAAATAAGAGAGAAAAAATGAGAAGAAATTAAATAAAAGGAATACTACACAATGAACATGAAATGTTAAAGACAAGTCTTACAAAAACAATGTACATAATAAGAGCTTGTTCTTATATAGCGCTTTCCTGGACCGCAGGCCCTCTCAAAGAGATTTACAGATAAATATTATTGCCCCGGTCATCGGATTTAGGCTTACAAATGTACCTGCATGCAAAGTATTGTATGCACATTCTCCACTCCCTGGGGAGCATTCCAGCCAGGCCTCATTTTTACAAGTGCACAATTGCTAATCTAAGCACATTAGCCTTTCGCATCCTACCGGGTACCCATTTACAGAACACCTTGGTGGGGAGTGCAAATGTCTTGCCAAAGGATATTAGTGCTGCGGCAGGACTTGAACCGCGGACCTTGTGATCAACAGTCCGGTGACATATCCACTCTACCACGACACTTCTACATACATGTACTGTACATGTACAATGTATGTATACATGTTTTTACTAAACAGGCACATATATATAGTTTATAAGTCCCCAAGTAACGTGATATACCGACGGTGTCAGGACAGAAAAAGGAAAAACAGAAAGGCTGAAAAGCATTGGTTGAAAACTAGGGCCGATAGTGGTTGGGACAACTATACATGTAAGTCAGTTCGAAATGCAAAGCTTGTAGAAAATATCACAGAAATTTTATCATGGAAAATAAGGATAATCAAAAGGAGCTATTCAATGTTGTCAAGTCTCTGATGAGCATGTCAAAAAAACAACCTTTGATACCTTGTAATACTGATAAACATAAGTTTGTGAATGACCTAGGTGATTATTTTTGTGATAAAGTCGTGAAAATCCACATGAATATTGAAACAAGACTAGATGCAAGGAATGAACCCAAGACTTATTCTCTACCTACCATGATGTCGATGTTTTGAGTGATTTCAAATCTCTTTCTGAGCACCAAGTTGAAAAACTTATACTTTATACAAAAAGTGTACCCTTCACAGATCATTTTATGTACATGTATGTTATTAACAAAGGAAAGAGAATGTCAGTCAGTTAATCAATCATGTCTGACAGTGAAGTCTAGAAAGCAAACAGGTTTCCTTGCATAATTTTGATACTAGGACACTGCTAACGTTTAAATTTCACAGATAGAACATATTTATAATTCCTGCTAAGTTCTACAGACTTTGATCGTTGATGTTGACTGCATCATCATAATCATAATTTATTGGTTTCAAAAATATAGTTTTATCTTTCCAGTTCTAGACCCATGGTATTTGTGTGTGCTTAGTGGGAACCGGAAGTGTCTTTGCCAAATATACCCATGGCTGGTGCTGCCCTCTATGGCAAAATAAAGCAGTTGATGTAGCAAGAATTATACTTGTACATGTACCGGTATATGCATTGTGTTGATGTAGGGGTGGTCAATATTGTATCTTGGGGGGGGGGGGGGCAAAGGAAATTTGTGAGTGTTACAAAGCAATGATGAGACATAAAATGAGACGTGAATGTGACCAAATCCTGAGTGAGTGAATTCTAACTCACTACCTACAATGTAGAACTAGAGAAACTCCAGACAGTCTATCTTTAAATATAATATTTGGTTCCCAGTCTAGGATCTAATCACCTACATGTATAATAAAAATCTGGGTACCGCTAATGTTGACAGCTTTCTTTTAAACATTTCCCTACATGTTTCAAACATCTACAAAATCCTTTCACCCTCCCTCTCTTCCCCCCCCCCCCCAACCCCTTCCATAACTTTTCTGTTGTTGTTGTTGTTGTTGTGTTTTTATAATGGGGAACAGATAGAGAGAGAAAAGATAGAAAAAGGACACAAATTATTTGATGAAAAATAAATAGGAACCATGAATTGAAGAAAGACAGGAATTTACACATTTTTATGCTTACAGGAGCCACATCAAAATAATCATGCAATAACAGCAAGTAAATTTCATTTTCTATTTCTTCACTAAATCAGCTAGCAAAATAGCATATTTTCAGAAGTCTTTCTGCACAGCCTACATGTACAAGTATCAAAATAGATACCTGTACCAGCCTACCAGGTCATCGCTTCACGAAATAGTCACAAGAACAAGTTTGGCAACATCCCATTGAAGTTTTGAAGCGTGTGTGAGTTCAATATGCAATTTCGATGGGATGTCTACAAACTTGCAGGTCTACTTGAAATGCTGCCCAGATTGCTACAAACATACATATTTTTAAGTCATTATGTCCAGCGCTACAGCAAAGAGAAACATGAGAACAGATCATTTCAGTTTTAGATAATACCTTTTTTCATTAAAAAATCTTCAAATTGTAAGTTTACACCATCACTCATTATCTCATAGAATGATACAAATTAAAAGTTTCTTTACTTAGACACATCTTCAAAATAGTCTGCATTATTGCTCTTAATTGTGATATTTTGACAAGACTTTGGAAAACGATGACATGAAACGATATCAATAAGTGTGGAACTCCACTGCAAAGCAAAAGGAGCCAAGCTCTCTTTTCATTGACATGTTCCATCTCCTTCCAATATGTCCAACTTCAAGTTCCATTGAATTGCAGTGACCAGTAGGGGCGCTGGTCCGAGAATGATGACCGTCCGCATAAACGAGGATATATCCTCAGCTCATATTCATAAACGCGGACAAATCGCGTCCTAAAAAATAAGGATCGTCTGCGAACATTTGTTTTTCTTCAGCATTCTGCAGGTGTAGGGTTACCGATCAACGCGCTGGCAATGCGAAAACAATCTACTTTTATGAGAAGTCCGTCTTCTCAAGGATTTATCGTTCATAACGTGAAAGTCTCTCTGCTGCGTAAGTGAGACAAGCGTCGACTCATGGAGCATCATCACGGAATCTTTTTTTCGCATCGCCAATACGCAGATCAGTAATAAGGATCGTGGGTGCAAATGCGGTCGCCCCTTATTTTTTAGGACACGATTTGTCCGCGCTTACGAGGATACCCTTGTTTGTGCGGACGATCCTCATTCTCGGACCAGCGCCCCTGGCCCCTGTCCCTACTGTTGACCGTTTAATAAACGGTCTTACTTTTTAGTTTTACCATACCGTTTTCATCCCTCAGTCATTCAATTTAAACTACGACTCTACTTTATCAAGGAGTGTCAAATTGAGCCTTTAGTTTTCGGCAAATCATAGAAACATCAACATTCCTAACACGGCTCAGCTCAGCTCAGTCAGTCACTCTATCATTATCACAATCACACAGACAGCGCACATTCGCTTACCTGCCCATCTGCCTTCGCATTAGCAGTCTGTGTGTTGTTAGCATTGCCGCTGCTAGCAGTAGCAGGTGCTGGACGACTATTCCCACCACCTCGTTTATTTCTCCGTCTTTTGGAGCGTTTGCTGTCAGAAGAACTCATGATTAATCCTCAATCTACTTCCGTGATATTATAGTTATACAATGAAATATTTCAAGACTCGATTTACTTCGATGAACGACGTAAATTCGTAATGTTTTTCTGTAAACATAAGAGGCGCTCCTTAGCATTTTCCTCGCCAATATGGCAGCCTACACTTACATAGTTGCGATTCATACATTTTAATTAATACATTACTGTAGAAGTCCTGAAAAAGAATATGTTAAACATGTAATTACAATTTTTATGTTACTAATATATCTATCAATAAATACCAAAAAAAAAATTGTCGAGTTATTGCATATTTGAATTACAATTTGGCGATTATATACTCATGCAAATGATGAATTACTTGGAATGTAGACTATCAATTTTATTACGCAGCTACCAATACTAGAACGCAAAGAAGAGATCAGCGAAAACTACTGGGGCTCTGTCGAAAATTGATACATGAATCAGGATGTGCTAAATCAAAATACTGAGTAGTACGACAGTGTAAGTAATTTACTACTGCTGATCATATTTTTTTTCTTCTCGATCTCTCAAACTCTCGTTTCTGTTTTTATGATGCATGTACGTACCAACAGTATATCATGGCAGGGGCGGATCTAGCTTTTTGCTAAGGGGGGGGTTTGACCAAAATAATGACGATACGGAGCATCGTCCACGAGCCGCGAAGCGGCGAGCCGATTTTTTGGGGGGTGTTTATTTGAACCCCGTAAGTGATGTTTTCCTGGCATCTATTAACACAATGGAGACCATAAAAAGCAGTGCATGATAACATCTTTTTAAATCAAGTAACAGTTTAATACATAGTTATATCCAGAGTTATCATGTGTTTGGTTAAGTTACCAGATGAGTTGAATATCTTCTCACAATATTTGCACTTGAAAGGGTTTCTCTCCAGCGTGCGTTCTTTTTTCTTTCTTTTTTTTCTTTCTTTTTTTCTTTTTTTTTCCTTTTTTTTTTGGGGGGGGGGGCCGCCCAAGGGGGGGGGGGTTGCAACCCCCCCCAACCCCCCCCCCCCTGGATCCGCCACTGCATGGGATGGTTGGGATCAGGGGCGGATCCACGGTGGGGGGGGGGGGAGGGGGGCCATAATGCAGGGTTTTTTTAAAGACGGTAACGTATAATTTACATTTGAAAAAAACGAAAATGGGCCCCTCCCCTCCCCTCCCCTGGCAAAAAAAGAGTAAAAAAATGTTGTTTCTTTGTTGTTTCTCAAAGGCGGGGGTGGGTGTGAGAAAAAAAGGAGGTTTCACTTTCACGCAAGTCGCCTTTTTTGCACTCTCGCAAACAATGCCCCCTGTTCATCCAAGCGTGAACACATACTACACAAAAATGATACCAAACGATTCGGGATATAACTATCTTTCAAAACATGTATGAGAACCTTTCGTTCATAGCTGACTTTTAAAATAAATGACAATTTTTTTAGGGTAACCTTTTTTTTACTCACACGGTACATGGGTATAAGAGATCGATAGAGATAAGAGACTGCAAACTTGCGATTAATTGGAGGACTTGGATTGATTCGGATCAGTCGCAATTCCTTATAAGACGAGACCCAGGACAATAACATTGGCGACATGTGGATCAGAGGCGGCGCTCCCAAAAACCCCAAAAGTGCCCCTTTTTTCGACAAGTTCCCATTTTCCTTTGCAAGAAGTGTCTATTTTCCATTCTCATAAGTGCCCTCTTTAATCTCTAGTAAGTGCCCCTTTTCAGGTACGAGAACTCCCACTTTTCACTTTTTATATGTGCCCCCCTTCACCTCTGATAATTGCTTATTCCTATCAGAGAGTTGCACTTTCCCATTTTAATAACTACCCCTTGTTAACTCAGATAAGCGCACCTTTTATTTGTAAATGAGTACCCCTTTTCATTATGATAAGTTACCCGATTGAAAAAAAAAAAACCTTTTCATGCTCATAATTGCCCCTTTTTCACCTATGAAAAGTGCCCCCGGCCTCCGATAATGCCCCTATTCAAATCTGAGGGATGGTCGTTTTTACTTTGACAAGTGCCCCTTCCCCTTCCGTTATAATCAGGCACGTAGCCACGGGGGGCACAGGGGGCACGTGCCCCCTAAAATTTCCAAGATCGGTTGAACTTTTTTAGACCCCTTTTTTTTTTACCTCGATCGATTACATGCATGTGCCCCCCCCCCCCCCCCCCAAACATCGAACTCTGGCTACGTGCCTGGTAATGAAAACACCCCTAAGTCCGGTGTGTAAGTCAATTTTGTGTATGTACCAGCCGGACTTTGGTGCGTGAAAAGTACCCCTTTACCGGACATTTTAGTAACCCGCATGCGGTCATTCCGACCCCGGAGTTGGGGGGGGGTTAAAATTTAAAATCTCCCTTCATAACTATCATTTTAATCATGTAATCATGTAATAGTAATCACGATGATGATATTAATGATACAGACTGACGAGGATTTAATATTTTGAGTCAAATTCATAACACGGTGCACTTTTCGTTAAAATTTTTAAAGTTTTTTTTACCGGGGATGAAAACTCAAAAACATATAAACAGGGTTGTCTGAAATGGGGGGGGGGGGGGACACGTACAAGTCTCCTTTGGACTCCGGGTTTGTGCGCCCCACTCAGTGTTATTTAAGGTACGCATATGCGTGTTCCCTCCTACAGGCACGTAGCCACGGGGGGGGGGGCCTAAAATTTCCAAGATCGGTTGAACTTTTTTAGACCTCTTTTTTTTTTTTACCTTGATCGATTACATGCATGTGCCCCCCCCCCCCAAAAAAAAAAAAAAAAACATCGAACTCTGGCTACGTGCCTGGTTATAATTATCCTTTTTCATCTCTGATAAGTGCCCCTTTTAAAATCTGATCGGTACCCCTTTTCTTTCAACAAATGCACATTTTCCTTTATTATAAATGCCCCTTTTCATACTTGGTCAAGGCCCATTTTCACTTCTGATAATTTCCCTTTTAACAATGATACGTGCCCCTTTTCCTTTCTGATAAGGGACCTATCCCCTTTCACCTCTTATAAATGCCCCTATCAAAATGTTTTGGGTGCCCTTTTCCGTCGACAAATGCCCATTTCTCATTATCATAAGGGCCTTTTTTCATCCCCGGTGAGTGCCTCTTTTCAGGTGTAAGAAAAATCTCATTTTCACCTTTGATAACCACCCTTTGTACTTTGACACAACCATGCCCCTTTTATTTTCTAATAATCATCCCTTTTGACAAGGCTCGCTCGCATTTATTAATGATACAATAAACTTGTCAAAGGTCTTTTCAGTCTTCCGTTATGAGAATGTGCTTATAACTCTATCAGGATTGGGTTTTTTCCTCTTTATAATTAAAGGTGTAATTTGTTGGCCCTGCAACCTCACAAATCTTTAAAAATTTACTTCGCTCGCTCGCAAGTAAATATTCATACCATCACATCCAACTGCAAGTATGCAATATCTTGCAGAGGCGGCCCTCCCGGGGGGCAGGGGGGCACAGTGCCCCCCCCCCCACTTTTTCAGATACCCCAAAAGTGCTCCTTTTTACATAGGAAAAGTGCCCCTTTTATTTTGTAAGAAGTGCCCCTTTTACTTTGACAAGTGCCCCTATTACTTAGTAAAAGTGCCCCTTCCCCCTTTTCACCTCTGACGAGTACCCTTTTTATTTTTGACACGTGCCCCTTTTCCTTCGACATGTTCCCATTTTCCTTTGCAATAAGTGTCCATGTTCCATTCTCATAAATCTTGAAATTATCTTGAATAAGTGCCCCCTTCACCTCTGATAATTGCCCTATTCAAAACTGAGAGGTGCTCCTTTTACTTTGACAACTTCCCCTTTTTTCCTTTGTAAGAAGTGCCCCTTCTCCTTTTAATAACTACCCCTTTTTTAAACTCGGATGAGCACACCTTTCATTTCAACATGTGCCCCTCTTATTTTCTAATAAGTGCCCCTTTTCCTTATGATAAGTGCCCCCATTAAAAAGAGAGAGCTCCTTCCCCTTCTCATAACTACCCCTTTCCATTTCTAATAAGTGCCCCTTTTCCTTATGATAAGTGCCCCCATTAAAAAGAAAGAGCTCCTTCCCCTTCTCATAACTGCCCCTTTTAAAAATCTGAACGGTGCCCCCTTTTCATTCAACAAATGCACATTTTCCTTTATTATAAGTGCCCCTTTTTACATTTTCATAAGTGCCCCTTTTCATATCTGGTCAGTGCCCCTTTTCAACTCTGATAATTCCCCTTTTAATAATGATAAGTGCCCCTTTTCCTTTCTAATAAGGGACCTATCCACTTTTCACCTCTTATAAATGCCCCTTTCCCTTTCTAATAAGGGACCTATCCACTATTCACCTCTTATAAATGCCCCTATCAAAATCTGATGGGTGCCCCTTTTCCGTCAACAAATGCCTTTTTCCCATTTTCATAAACGCCTCTTTTTCATCACTGGTGAGTGCCTCTTTTCAGGTGAAAAAATGCCTCATTTTCACCTCTTATAATTATCCTTTGTAATTTGACACGTGCTCCTTTTCTTTTCTAATAAGTGTCTAATATCCCTTTCGATAATTGTCCCCTTTTCATGTAATCATTAAACGTGCCCCTTATTTAAAGCGACTAAGAGCAATTTCCCCCAAAGTTCACTCGCTGCGCTCGCTCGCATTTAAAGATGATATAATTGTGTTACTTATCAAAGGTCTTTTCAGTCTTCCGTTATGAGAATGTGCTTATAACCCCATCACGATTGGCTTTTTTCCTCTTTATAAGATGTAATTTTTCGCACTGCGACCTCACAGATCTTTAAAATTTTTCTCGCTCGCTTCGCTCGCTCGTAAATGCATATTCAGACATCACATCCAACAGTAAAGTATGATGCTTAAGCGATATCTTGTATGATGTATGAAGAGAAACAAATATTGAAATCATCCCTGATAATGTAATCACAATGTAGGGGTATATACCAATGTCTAAAAAATTGTATATTTTCGCTTTGAGATTTCCCACTGTAGGTGCCCTTTTTTCCAGAAAGTGCCATTTTTTGTTGGTGCCCCCCCCCCACTTTGGAAGTCACTCGGCCGCCCCTGATATCTTGTATCTGGAATAAAGAGAAACAAATTTAACATTGAAATCATCCCTGATAATGTAATCACAATATATGGGTTTTACACCAATCTAACAAATTGTACATTTTCGTTTTTGAGATTATTTTGTTGATGCCCTCCCCCCCCCCCCCCACTTTGAAAGTCGCTCCTCCGCCCCTACTGTGGATAATTCACTCTATAGGAATCTTATTAACTGAATCTTTCCATCTACATTGCATACTAAAACAGTTGTAATTTAGATTTAGGCCTTAATCAGATGAGTTGATCAAAGGGGTGAGGGCACGGCCCCTTCTCATTGATATGGGGAATTGCTGCTACAGCCCCCATCCCTTGGATTTCATGCCATAGTAAACCATTTAAATGATACAAATTAATTCTGACAGATTGCATCTCGCAAAAAAATTAATGTAACTGCTAAAGGGCTAGAGATATGGGGAAATAGAAGCAAGCTCGGAAGTAAAAAAAAAAAAAAAACAGAGAGAGAGAGAGAGAGAGAGAGATCGACCTGTGTGACTGATATTGAATAACCAGTAATAAAAAATAAATGTATAAGAATATCGAAAAGGAAAGACACAACTTCAAAATGAAATTCCAATAATAGAATATGGGGAAATCGGATGCCCGAATATTGGTAATGTCGAAATTACGCAGGGTGGGGTGGGGGGGGGGGGGGGCATTTACAATACGCCTATGACGCTCGCACCAGAAATGCCAACATTATTGATAGTTCAAACTGCATGCTAAAACTGAGCCGGGAATGAGTAGGGAAGGTTTGGAAAATCTGCACTGAAAAAATAATTGTTTGAAGGGAATGCGAATAAGGAATGCGAAGGAGATGAGCCTGTGGCTTGAAGCATGGACCTTCTAGGTTCGTGATTAAAGTGAGAGACTGAGGAAAATTGTTAGGAACAGGAACAGAAATGATAAAGTAGATTTTCAAGAGACAGTGAACTCTGGGACACGGAGTGCCTTGGCCAACAAAATATTATAACAATCTTTTGAAGACGTCATGAAAAAGGGAAACATGCACTTAGCCAAATTCTGACAACATTGTGACGAATAAGATGTTTTGAAAACAGAAAATTCAAAAGAACAATCATTGTTTTCCTATAATACAACGGACAAATTTACCTTTACCAATTTTCTATTTATTTTTTATTTAGACTGAACTAAAACATTTAGTCAGTTTCTCAGTTTCTAAACGTTCCGTTTGTCTGTGGCTAAATATACATAATTAACCTTTTTTTTCCCCCTTTTTTAGATAAACATATACCTTTGAATTCTAACAAAGGAGAAACAAACAAAACTATACAAGTAAATGCGGGTTCAAAAAAGCAGCAAACAATAATTTAGCCCTTTTATCACAGAGAGTTTTAGCATTGAATTTTGCATTTTAATGTTTGAGTTATGCCCTCTACAGTCGACAAAGTGTACTTAGCATGTTCTTCTCACTGCATGCATACGTTAACGTTATGCACGTACTGCACTGCAAAACTCAGCTGTCGCGGCCAGATCAGAGAAAACAGTTCGCCCAATCCGAAGGAACCCCCGACTCAGAAAAATATGGATAGGGTAAGTTCTGTCGTTATAAAGAATTGTTGTAACTACACTAGTTAACATTTAAGTAGAGCGTATTCTTGGGAGAAATATCTGTCAGATATGAATACGACGTCATCGCGGGGAGATAATTACACCTAACAAATTCAAATGAACAAAATGTCAATACTGACCGAGTCTAACGTTAACCCCAACGTAACATTGACATGTTCGGGTAACGAGAGCAAGACTCAAATTTCAAAGACAATGCATGACTTGAGTAAACATTTTGTAGACCTCTAGGACAGTCACAGATCGAATAAATGAACAAAATTTGAGGAATATTTGGTAGTTAAAATTTAGGCCTTGCCATTGTCATTGAATAGGAATAACTTTGGGTTCATTCATTTATCTATAATTTGTTTAGACTATTTAGGTATTTTAATTTTATAGACTATTGTGTTTGTGTGTTTTGTTCTGTGTGCATGCCATTTGAGATCTGTGGAAAGAAGGTGTGCGTTGTATACATAGGTCTATATGTCATGTCAATGGTACTCAAATTGTGCAGAGTGAATAACTGTGCTGAAATATTAAAACCACCCCCCCCCCCCCAGACTATTGGAAAGATGAAATTAATACAAAATTTGTCCGACTTAAAGAAGATACACACATTTCAATATCAAGTTGTGTTTACAATCACAATCGAAACATTTAATGGAGAAGCCTGAGATTCTAAGCCTATTGCCTTGGCAAAATGTTCTTGTTCAGTCGAATGTTACTGTTTCCTGTAGTCTGGCTTTAATATCTGCCCTCTACCCCCTATCGGTTATACCGGGAGGAGAGACCAGAGGGTTACAGTGATTCAGTTCACTTTTAGCCTCCCAGGCACAGGTTGCGCCAAATTAATAATAATGAAAACCCTCTCCTCTTTATCACAGACTCAACCTCTCTCAAGAAAAAGAAGACACTCATCCCGTATGGGTGCGAGCACAAGCCATGACGAAGATGAACACCCCCCTCGCTCGAGGCTACGGGCATCAAGGTTAACAAGCAGAACAAGTTCCGGCTCGGTCGAGATCGTGGACATTACCCCGCAGACAACCACACCGCCAATTGCTGAAGATGGTACGAAAAATGGGCAAGAATTCAAGGCTAAGTGAATTACACTCTACATGTATTTTGCCCTGTGGTTCTTCTTGCTTTTTCAACACAATGAAGATGGGGCTTCTTACTATATCTTCTGCTGGGAGCCAGGGGGCCGTTTCCGAAACCGTCATAAGTGTTATAGAATTAACGCATGTTTCTATGGGATGTCCACGAACTAAGACTTGTGGCGGTTTCGAGAAACTGGCCCCTGCAGGGCATTGACTCCTACACAATGTTAATTTCCTCCTTGTTCTCTAAGCTTTCTTAAAACAAACAATATTAGCTTTTTAAAATTGAAATGTTGTTCATACATGTCTTTGAGCCTGCATTAAAACCATCACTGAGTATGTTCTGCTTTGGTTTACCGGTAGAAGAAATAATGATAATCTGGCTTAATACGAAATATCGTTTCTAAGCCCTTTACAATTGACCGATTGTATTACCCTGGCCACTGTTGCATTAAACTTACCACTGATGGTAACTTTGCTTTCAATATTAACTACCATGGCAACATCACTCAACAGCCAATCAAACCTACATGTAAATTTCATGGAAGTTACCATCATTGGCAAAATGACCACCGTTGGTAAGTTTTATGCAACAGGGCCAACTGGTGAAATTAACGACACAAAATGTTTAGTTTACCCTGGGACAAACCCTGCCTCAAGTAAATAATTACTTTGAAATGTTTGTTTTGTTTTCTTTGTTTTCTTTGACACAGAACCGATTGATTTGTCAATACCTGTCTGCATTGTGGACCTGACGGATGAGACGGAAACCACAAGAAATCGACCACGAAGAAATTTTTCTCAGGATGACATCGTTGATCTTACGTCTGTCGTAGATACCCCAGTAGAAGAGAGAGGTAGAAACTGTTCCTCCATATTCCTTTATTTAGTTCTAAATAATGAAATTTGTTTGATGGGAACAATAAATATTTGAATACTACCACGTAATAATCTGGTTTTATGAAGAGATCAAAACAAAATATCGTCTGCAAACACTTTACAAATTTTATTAACCTAGTCATCAGATTCATTTATGTACAATGTGCACCATCTCCACTCCCTGGGGAGTATTCCTACCATATGGTCACCATTAGGGCATGTGGAATTACTAACACACACAAAGGTTCTCGTCATCCTACCAGGTTCCCATTTCTCTCCTGGGTATGGAGTAGCAATTGTTGATTAATGCCTTGCCAAAGGACATTAGTGCCATGGCGGGGATCGAACCCATGACCTTTGCATTTCAAATCAAGTGCTGAAACCACTCGACTGCAACACTCCACTACCAACATCAAGTTGGTAGTTGACCAGGAGGCATCTTGTTTGTCAGCTATTGTCCTACCCAACAATAGACTAGTCCAGAGCAAGGAAATGGTATAAATTACAACAGATATTCATATTCGCAAATCTCTTAAACATATAGAAATTGCCACTTTGTAGATTTTTTTTTTTTAAAGAAGCTCTTTATGCAGTGGAGCTTCATGAAGAAAACCTCTAAAAAATCAGTTGTGTACTTCTCTGACATAGATACATGCTATCAATCTACTGAAATGTCAAAATGACTGATGAATGAATGTCTTCTTGTGCTCTGTAGCACCAAGGAGGAGAAGGAGACGGAGTAGGAGAGGGAGACCGATGAGGAGCTCTCAACGTGGTAACATCATACCTATCCTCAGTGACGATAGTGATGAGGAGAACGACATCATGGTCCTTCCAGAGATAGACATCGGGCAGAGCTACAGGACAGCCAGGTGGGTAGATGCTTGAAGGGATCTGTTAACTTTGTCACAGATTCTCAAACAAAATCCTGGATTTAGCTCATGCTGCAATGATAATAATAAACCTTTAGGTCAGTCAGGAACCTCATGACTTTTACAAGCCGATCGTCTGTCTGATTATCAAGATATTTATGATTGGAATTACAAATTTTGAAAAACGTTTGCCAAACAGTTTTCATAAGACTACAGTCTATTGGGGAAAACGAGTATGGTAAAACCAGTTACTTGAATTTGTTTACTTTTTTGAGGCACTTCTTGATCATTTTGAAGCGCAATTTTGTTAGGGCTTCAATATTACACCATATCACAGACACTGATAACATGTAGGGCCATGCATCTCAGATTTAACATTGTTAACCGATGTCCTTCTCTTTGGAAGCATATATGTTAATTATAATGAGAGAGAGAGAGGAGTCACATGGGGTAGAAAAGAAAGGAAATGTGAGGGAGAGAGAGAGAAGGTGACAGAAAACGAGGAGCTCTGGGAGGGAAGAGATGAGGTAGAGTACAGGCTATCAAGAACAGTGACTGCCCATGGTATAAAGACAATCAACGATTCATCAACATTCGACATTGCAAGCTAGATATAGACCCTATGATATTGAAAATTAAAATTATGTTGAGTAAGGTACCTAGCTATTACACAGTGTCATGGGACAGCGGCCATAACATACTAAAAACATGTATGAGGGCTTGCATGAAGTCTGGTACATGAATACAATAGAGATACAGTGTAGAAAAAAGGAGAGAAATAAGAACAATTGGTAGAAAAGGGAGAGATGCACACCTAAAAACAAGGCTTCAGGTGAAGTTAGAGACTTTGGAGGTAAGCGCTTTATAAACAACGTTTCTTCTTCTTATTATTAAGTGAGGGAAGACGGGAAGGAGAAAGAACATAGCAGCTGGCATTCATGCATGCGCTCAAACTACATTATTCATCAATTAAAAAATTAATGTTTTTCGCATCATTGTGGACAGAGTGAATGGCATTTAAAAACTATCATGAAAGACAATTATTTCCTTTAAATAGATAAATGCACCTCTTCTCAAATATACAAATTTGTTGAGTTGAAGACAGTTACGGTACTGCTATAGGTTACATTATCGCACTTAATACTAACATTTCAAATATTAAAATTGATTAAAATGTTTAAAAATAGTTATCATGAAAGTGACCTTGCTTACATGACAAGACATACAATACAGTTGTGATCAGAGCATAACATACCAATTACATGTATGAAGGCATGTGAGCAGGCATGTGAGCAGGCATGCGTGAAGTCAGGTACATGTTTACAGCAGTAGAGATAGAGGAAGGAGATAAATAAGGAAATGAATAAGAAGAAAAAAAAGTGGTAGAATGGTACAGATGCACACCCAAAACAATGCTTCAGGTGAAGTGAAAGAAGACTGAGAAGGAGAAAAGATTATGACCTGGCTCCATGCATGCACCCAAACCATCCACCCAAACCATCCACACATTACATACACTCAATCAGAAAATCATTGTCTCACAGAATTGTTGAAAATGTGTATGGCATTTGGAACAAAAGATTGTCTGAATCTACATCGTATTGTTTTAGGCAATGTAAGACGTATACCAGAATGGTTGAACTTGAAAAGCTCATGTAGTGGATGAGAAGAAGCTTGCATTATTTTACGAATCTTCAGTAGATCCTTCTTTTCAAACAGAGAACCAATTGGGGGCAACTCTTTGTGAGTAATTTGCGGAGCAACTTTCCTAGCTCTATTAACGTTCGTCACATTCTCATCTGACAGGTTCCCATACATACATGTGAGACTGAAAGTAAGGATACTTTGTATCAAACTTTGGTAGAATAGTACCAGGATGGTATTGCCAACTCTAAATTCCCTTAATTTCCTAAGGAAATACAACCGTTGATTAGCTTTTCTTGCGAGAACTTGTGAATTTAATTTCCAATTCAGTTTGTTGTCGATAATTGTCCATAGATATTTGTATTCTGGGACTTGGTCTATGGGATGTCCGTGAATAGTAATAGGCTCATGAGAATGTGAAGAGCGACGAAAATCAAAGATGATTTCCTTTGTCTTTTGTACATTGAGGACTAGATTTGATTGATCACACCATTTTACAAAACTCTGTACTTCTTGAAAGTAGTTTTCAGACCCATGCTTTAGATAACCGCATATAGCTGTGTCATCAGCATATTTTATGACAGAGCAGTTAGAGAAGAGATTCTTGAAAATGTTCTGAGAGCATGCAGATTTTATATTAGCTGGCAATGCATATCCTGGCACAATAGACCTCGTTTCTACTGTGATAGTTTGTAAATTTAACGATGATGCTTTGTAGTGTTTCACGTTTTTTACGAGTCTCACTAGTACTGGATCTGGTTGTCAGACGGGACGGTTCCCGCCTAGTACGTGTGCTTGCAAGGCGATGCGAGCGATCGATGTCTGATTTGGTGTCGATCTTCACCCCAAGCGTATCCTCGCATATTTGAGCGATAACCTCATCCATGACTACGTTGGCGGTCTCATCTACACCGCAAAAAAATCAAGCAATTCCTGCGCGAGTACTGCTCAATATCATCCATGTCGGCGTGTAGAGTTTCCTTCTCTTGCTCCAATGATGTGATCTTGTCGGTGTAGTTGTCGGAATCTAACTGTAGGGATTCAGCTACCCTTTCCGCAATGGTTTGCTTGATTTCTGCTATGAGGGTTGTTTTGATGGCAGAGACTAGGCTTGTGATGAAGCTGGTTTCAGAGACAAGCTTCTGTAATGCTTGTCTTATCACTGTCGTCAAATCAGACCCTTCAGGTGGCTTGGCCTCCGTCTGGTCTACGCTTGTTGTGGATTTTTTCGCTGATGTTGATGGTGGTGTGGCTTTCCCATTGCACGCATTTAGCGGGGTCCCCTTGTCAGGCTTGTAAAAGATGGGCCGACGTATGCTGAAATTCCCGGGCTAGGCGCGGCCTGATGACTGTATGAGACTGCTGCGCCGTGCTTGGTCTTTGCCGCCATCTTTTTCGTCATAGTTGCAAAAGAAGTTAATATCACGAAGGCAAGATGAATTGGCGTCCGTTAGATGGTCCAAAATACAATGTAGATGTGAAGAAATCAACTGGTGATATTGTGTTGGCAAGAAATGTGCAAAATTCAGTGCTTTTCGGCGGCATTCAGTTAAAAAGTGGAGACGAATTAGCGGCGTGCGTTCATGTTCGCTGTCCTATAATGTACTTCTTCTTCCTCAGCTTGGTGTAGTATGTCTTCAGACTGGTATACCAGATGATCAGCTCCTCACTGTTAACACCCATCACCTCTGTTTGCTTCTGCCACTGGAAGTTCTTTTTTCTTTGTGTCCTTACAGGCCTCAAGTTTTTTGTTATAAAGGACTTCATTGGCCTTGAGCCATTCCACCATGGCTTCTTCTTGCTATGGGGTGAGATAGGTGGGAGTCTTTGTTTTCATATATATATGTGCCTGCCCGGACTACGACGACAAACAAACGAAAGCTCGCACGTGTTCTCATACTGGGTAAACAATAGTCAAAACAGCTTTATTGAATCTAGTCTCTTCATCATGGTCAAAGCTGACTCTTTGGCTTGCTGATTCACTTTGTTCCTTAGATTCCCGTAAAAACTATAAACAAACAAACAAATGAACAAAATCCAACATAAGTATATCATCATATCAAAGCATGTTACAGTGCAACTGCATTATAACGAGGCACTTGGGACGAGAGAAGATACATTGTTATAGGTAAAGTCTGCCACATCAGTGCCTTTAATAATAAGGTTCCACTGTATTATGAGTCTAAACATTATACTAAGGTGAATAACAATTAACTTCAATTTAAAGTAATTGGACTTAAATTATCATAATAGCAATACTGTCCAGTATTTAATACACTAAGTGTTGTGAAAATTAGAAATAAACTCTAAACTGATATCCTACAAATAAGGAATATTTGTAAACGTATTTAACTGTATACAATGGGTGTCGAAAACAGCTTAAATAGACAATGTAATTGCAAAAATGTTATGTGAGCAATAAATGTAATGTCAACCATCTTATATCAAGTTTTGGCGTATTTGAGTGCTTATTTCCTCAGGACTGAGGTTTGAGTTTAATCTAGTTGAGTTATCATTACACAATAAATTCGATACTGATTAAGAGTTTCTGTATATTTCCATACAAACAGATATTCATAATTATAGTACTACACAAAGACCTGCACACTATGCATACAATGCATCAATCTGATACACGAGCTATTGAAGTTCTACAGTAGAATAACACTGATTGCTGTATGCATACTGAGCGATTCTCTTGAAATTAAACCTAAAAGTTCTATTTATGCTTACCACTGTGCCACTTGTTACCAAAGTCTCAGGCAGGCATAAATAATATGCCGATTAACGATGCAATTCCTTTTCCATCGCCATAACGTGCCCCAGTTTTGGGCCAAAAATTACAATCTTCGCAGACGATAAAATTATGGAATGCCAAATAGACAATTACAACCGCACGGTGTATGAAGTGCCTTTACACTCCCACCAAAATTGCCTTCACTGGTAACATAATCACATGCATGAGTACACTTACATATATATGAAAATGCATTTACTAGTATTACATAAGTGGTGCATGTGAAATAATGTGACCATAATATGGAAATTTTTAAGCAAGCACTCCATACACCTCTTGCATGTAAATTGGTACACTTGCAATCTACAACACGAATAACATGGCAATTGAATAGCTTGATCAAACCAGAATGGCATAAGTGATGATGCGGAACTCAAACAATGCACGTTTATAACATGTGCTGTAAAAGATTATAACACACACTGCAAAGGTTGTAAGGCAAGCTTAAAGGTTGGGACAATATTTAAGCGCTGTGTATCTAAAATTCGCAGCAAACAAGATCAGAATTTGAGTCCTAAATTTTTAAACTGTACCAGAAAACGAAGTACATGTGCAAATG